ATTTGAGTATCATATAAGTGTCAAGTTAAATCGACATAAACAAATCTATTGCGGAAACAGTCTGTTTACGTCTATCACAGAAATATTTTCGTTCGAGTACCCTGTTAAAAAAAATTGATAGAAAACGATTAGAACTAATATAGGATTTGACAAGTATTTTATCGTGTCTCATCGTATATATCGTTCCACTTTCTCTGTTCCGAAAGAAATTGTTATCGTTTTTTATTGTTTTCTATAATTAGCTGATAAAAATAATTTTAATCGTTAAAATATCGATAGAACATCTACAGTAACTTATCGTTTTGATAAAATTTATCATAAATAATTAAAACGTTATCCTAATGAATTGTTTATACATGATAATCTTTTTATCGTTCATAACTACGTTTTTGAACGATGATTAAAAATGATGATTAAAGATAGTGGTAAATATGCTTGAATGGTAAATACTGAAATAAATAATGAAATAAAAATATAAGAAATTTGTAATTATATAACATTTAATTTTAACTTCCAGGTTTTACGAAAAAAAAAAACGAAATTGCAGAAAGGAAAAAAGGAGAATTAAGGAGAAGATTAATTAAATCTTTACTATTAACATTATTTAATTATACATAATATGAAGTGAATACATTTTTACAATTTATAGTATAAATAAACAACTTATAGTATAAATAAAACAGTAAGATCACAAAATTGTGTTAATATTGTTTATTATTATTATTGACTTTTAGAGTAACAATAATATAATACATTAATATAATATAATAACAATAATATAATGAAGTTATATTAATAAAATTACAAATAATGTAAATATAATATTTATGGCTCAAACTGATTATAAATATGATGATCATGAAAAAAATGTATGCAAAGAGATTGCTTACACCATGCACAAGTTATAATAGCAATATTGCCGCAAATATCGCATGTTACTTTAGAATGTTTTTTAAAACAAAAATTGACTGGTGTATCAAATTCATCTAGTTTAATATCTACATAACCACTTTTATGCCAAGCATACTGAAATAAATTTTGAAATCTTGGAGATGAAAATTGAAAATGTATCAATGATTGTAGTTTTAAAATAGAATCTCTTGAATGAAGTTTAATTTCTAAATCTAGAAGCATGACCATATCCGAAAAATGTTTTATAAAATTTTTCCATAATCTAAAACCGTATACATCTAACGGTTGTATTTGTTGTTCCAGCTGGTATAGTTAAGGTAACAAAATTTTCTACTGATTCCGGTCTATTTCTGGCAACTACGTCAGGACAATGACCAGTCCATGAGTCTAATAATAGAACTGATTTAGAACCAACATTCGGGAAAAAACTTCCCTTAACAACATTTCAAAATGATTTGACGTTAATTTTCCAGATTTAGAAGCCATAGATCGGAAGAGCACACGTC